TAACTGCTATTAGAGAATTCTGTGTACCTAAATGTGAGGATATTCAAGTTAAATAAAAAGAGTCGAGCCGCGATGGCTCAGGGGATAGAGCGTTCGCCTTCCAATGAGGTTGACCGGGTTCGAATCCCAGTCGATACGAATTCCGCATCCGGCTTGTATCGAACGCAGTTCCAACGTGAAATATCCTCAGTGATAGACGGATCATGGGTTAGAGTCCCTTTGCCGTCAGGCTAACCGTGGTGGGTTCTCGTGGTCTTCTTCTCTATGTCACGCAAAGGCGGGTTAGTTCTATTAAAAAAAATCCTCCACGAAGGCAAATATCTCCCAATGCTTGATCCAGGAGTTTCTTTGTCTTCTGGATTAGATTAAAAATTACAAGGCTACGGATTTGAACGTTAGTAGTCATAAACCCATTAAATTGGGTCGGCTTTTCAGCGACTGTTATAAAAAAGATGGAACAGTTTAACGAAGACCGATACCATGCACCCTCGGTCCCTGCGCAGGTCTGATCAAAGTGGTCATCCACCCGCTTACTGCAGCCAGCGTTATGCTTAACTTCAGTGTTCTACTGGCTGTGCTTACTAACAGTTCAATGCGGGACCTCAGAATTTGAAACTCAATGGTTTAGTACAAATTTTTTTTTTCAACTTTAAAATACTAATGCAGATGAGAGAGAATTGACCATGAAGTTTTCTCGTCATTAGTAAAAATACTTTGCATTTAAATAGTTTGTGATAACTGCTGAAAGGTGTTATCAAATCACGGTATCATATATGCTACCAACCATCAGTCTTTCTCTGTAAATGATCTAACGCTTAGATTTCATATTGGCATAACCATCGTTAGAAATTTATATTATCATACTTAAAATATGCTAATTAATCAGTGCAAAGGTTTTATGACGTAAAGTCAAAATATGAAATACTAACGCAATTCTTCTATAAAAAAAAGCACTATTTCGATGAATTTGGATTTTTGATCTGCCAAAATGTCAACGCTTGCTGCCATTTGAAAATGTGACACTTTACTAATTTAGTTCAGAGTTCATTCTATAGTTAAATACGGTAATTTAGTTAGGTTTCAGATCTTTGGCCCATATTCAAAAACCGCACTTAAGCATGCATTTATGAGTAGTCATCTCAAGGTTAAATCATGACATCAATTTAAATTTTAAGCTGTGGTAACAATTTGTGACAACAACAATTAAGTCAATCGAACAATTTGTCTTGATAACGGACGAATATTTAAATTATTATTTAACTGTTTAAATGATTAAACACTTAAATAATGAGAAATTATTAATTATTAAACTATTTAATAATAATTAAATATTTATATATTTAAATAATAAACATTTAAAAAAATTATTAACCTGCTTAGAAGCAAACACCAATTTGGAGATATTTTTCTACTTGGAAAAGGGCTAAATTCAACTAATGCAAAAGGGGTTTCCAACTTACATGTTGCTGGGGGCCGCAATTAAAAACACCAGTCAAATGGAGGGCCGCAACATCACCAAACTTTTACAAGACTCTTGTATGTATGAAGAAACATTAAATATTACTGACAAACTTTTTCAACGACAAGTTTTTTCAATATTAAAAAGGAAAATAAAAAGAATTACAAATAATGCTGGTTGAGTATTCATTTTGAATCTTTCCTTAATCTGAAACATAGTGGCAAGATTTTTTTTTCTTCTTTTAAATTTGATTATGTGATAAATTAAATTTTTTTCCGACTTATTAGGAATCATAGCAACAAGATCAAAAAAAAAATTCTCAAGCATATGAATTTTTTTCCCCTCATGCGATATACAAGGAATTTAAATAAAACATGATATTCATTCCCTTTTTTATGAGTTTTAAAATTTACAAATGTAAATAATTTCATCCAAAATGAGTAGTATCAAAAAGTTAAATCAGAGAATTTCTTCGAGAAAATTTCTAACACGCACGTGCTAAATTATATTTACAAAATACGAAAAAAGCGAAATCAAAAAAAGCATCATACACGATTATTTTTGTATTTGAATAAATATTTTCTTGGATGCAAGACCTGAGAAATGCATTTTTTTACACCGTTGGTATGTTAGATTTCACAGAAACGAAGAAATAAGGGTTTTTTAAGCGAAAGAGAAGCATTTTAAACACATATAGATTTTTTTACAAAAATTGTCCGCAGAAAAAATATAACTAATATATTTTAGTTAACGGGCCGCAAAAAAGGCTTCGCATGCCGCCAGTTGGCAAACACTGCTCTACATCAATCATCAAATCACAGCCAAATTTTAGGTTAAAAGCTTTTTGTTGAGTGAAAAAGAAACTTATTTTGTTATCTGGGTTTTAAGTTTATGTTATTTCTAATCCCAGATAGTATAGCTCAACTACGCAAGATCTCCACAAAACAAAAAAAATCTTCCAAAAGTCCAAAAATAAATTCTTTAAAATGTTGAAAACAATAATGTTTAAACATTTAAGAATGCAGATGGCGGAATCATTTTAAGTTCATTATACAGTTAACTCAAAGTAGAATGATTTTTTACTCTGTGTTTTTTTTTTCATCAGCACAATCAGAATGCGGAGGGTTTTATTGCGGCAACAAAGAATGTATTCCTCAAAAATTTAGGTGTGACGGAAAGGAGGCTTGCACAAACGGAAACGATGAAGAAAACTGCGAGTGCGACGAGGAAACTCAGTTTAGATGCGATGAAAATCGATGCATTCCTAAACGATATGTTTGCAATCGTCAGAGGGACTGTTCAGATGGAAGTGATGAAGATAACTGTGGTAAATAAAGTATTACATGTTTTTAATAAAACCGTGAACCACGAAAATAATAAAGAAGAATGGGTGTAAAGGACTTGTTTCTTTAGACAAGGACCTTCTGTGGGCGTCAGCAGAAAGTTGACGAACCCTGACCCCAACAAAATACTGTTTTGCAAGCTCAGCGTGAGCAGTCGTTCCTACTCAGACATTATCTCACATTGCGCATGCCTTAATGACGTAAACAAAAATCTAATTTGATTTTGTAGCTCATTCCTATAACTTTATATGTGTCAATCAGTGCTTAAGAAAGGAAAAAATGACCTTTTAATCAGTAACCACAGATTGTTTAAAGCACGGGATCTTTGTATGATTTATATCTTACGTTATACAAATTAGGTCATTTTTTTTAAATTTCAGAGGTTAATTTTTCCTCGAAATCAAAATGTTGGCCGATTTCAATTATCTGTTGGCTGTTTGTCCGCCATTGTTTCGGTAGTTAACGTTACGTTGTAAATCAACTGCAGTTAATTCGAACGGCTATTGTCGTTCAAGCTGAGCGTTCGATGACGTATGCTGTCTAATGCGCAAATTAAATAAACAAGAGGTTAACGCTCGCATCAAGGTAACGTTTTCTAACGTCGACCTGTCCTAAGAAACCAGGCCTTAAGATTCGTTGCATACTGCTACGGAAAACCAATTTTTTTCGTTGCGATTTAACCAAAGCAAAATAATCGTTTCATTTCTTACGTTAAATATCAATTACCATTCTCCGACGTGCTCATGCAGGTCAGCCACGTGCCTCAAGATCAGTTAACAATATTAATCGATTTAGCCATGTTGCAACTTGGATTAGAATTAATTATAAATTAACCTGCTCTACGTAATCTAATAAAATAAAGATTTGTTTAGAGGGATTATAAATAAACCTTGAGGTTCTGGTTACCGGCCTGCACGTGCACTATCGTTTTTTCCTAGCTGAAGAAATAGTATGAAGCATAGTCAATAATTAAAGACTAATTCATATTTTAAATGAAAATGTATTAAGACAAAAAAATCTTGGCTACATGTAAAAATACATACACATA